GTACGCTAGTTGTTTGTACCTTGGCTTTGGGTGCGGCTGGTTGCTGGTACCTGGGACTTGAGGCCCTGGGATTGGGTATTTACTTCCAAGGGTCTGTTGCCCATGGTGCGACAACAAGGTTTAGGTATTTATAGAACTTAAGAGTTAAGGGAATATGGCAGATGGTGAAAGAGCTTGCATTATTCCAAGATGGAGTAGGGATGTTCAAACTGCAAATCGAATAGAATATTTTTCGTTTGTATGACCATGAAATCCGTTTGTAGTAACTGGTGGAAAATCCAAATCTGAAACTACACTCTTCGTTTACATATAAAATTGAGTAAAATTGAGCAAAACTCGAGGGCTCAGTGGTTCTCCCAAGTTGTGTCAGAGTGGGAAGCCGTCTTGCCAGAAGGGTCCGGGGATTTTCCATGTTTAATGAGAATAAATCTGCAATTCCGCGTGAATCGAAAGGACAGAAGTGATAGATGAAACAGTGATGGATGGAACAGCGGTGGATGAAAGAGAGATAGAAGGAAGGAAGCTTGACAAAAGTCTAATTAACAAGGTAGGCATTATTCATCTGAACAAAGACTAAACAAAGAGAGGTACCTATTTTGCTATCATCCCAACTGTTGAAACCTCTTACATTTCAAGCGTATTTCGTATTCCTCTCTTCCACCACATACCTTCTCAAATTCTACCACGTGGTGAGCAGAGAACATGCTCCATCTGTATGGCATTCATCCAATTTCTTAGCAGTGGTTAAGTGGATAATGTATTTGGGCGCTTGGCACGATTAGGTATTGGCTCTATGTCCCTTTTAAGCTAGTCAGTCCACATTCAAACATTAGAGGCTCAAATAGGCATATCCATAGTGGAACTAGAAACTTCCTTTCCCGCTTCCTATTCCTTTTTCTTCCTCTGCTCTCCAAACTCTTTCCCATATCTCTACTTATTCACCCCCACCTCTCCCCCTCCTTCACCTCTCCATCTCTTTGTCTTCCCCCTCCCCTATCCCCAGAGCTTAACACCTCCTGTGATCACTTATAATCTGCACACATGAGCCTCTTCTGACACATGCTGGGTGTACTCTGAGCATCAAGAACAACTATCTATGGTATCCATGGATGGAGCAACTGCTGTGTTGGATGCCTTTTTCGTGGCAACCGCAACGCCAGGATAAAAAGGCCAATATCTTGAAGTCATGTCGAATGCCCCAACCCAAATTCTCCTAGCAGCTCTGTCACAGCTGTCTATCTGATTAGTATCATCCTTTCAGTCTCTAAAGATACTAGGATGCAGTGTCTTATTGAACCCTAACCAGACCTGCCATGCTGAACAATATCTCCTGCCTGAAAGAGCCAGTGTTATTCTTATCTATCGTCACGCGCCCGGTTCCATCGAGTACCGTCCTTTCCCTGGAATGGTATCAACGTCTCCCGTGGCTATTGGAATTGTGCACTGGATGTTCGACTTGCAGAATTCGTCCTCCAACTTCGTCATCGTCACACACCTATGATCCCCTTCGATTGAGACGATGCAGTATACGAACTAAAGACTGCCACATAAGAGAACTCCCAGATGTGAGAGAACTATGCATCTTGTAATTTTGCAATCGATGCTCAATCAGTCTCACCTTTTGTGTCCGCTGCAGCCAGATCTGGAGAAGCGATATCACGTCGTTTGCAAAGATCCAATGTGAAATTACAGCGAGTGGGAAAAAGAAAGAGAAAAAAGAAAGGGCTCATTCCAGCTGGCGATGGAGAAACGATATTACTCTCCGTCATTCATCATACTGTTTCTGAGATGTCAGTTCGATGAAGTACAGCATGGCACATTCTCGGACATCACGGTCACAATTGGACGAGTAAGTCGCGCAGATTTCATTTTGCGGACTTTACTAACACACTTGTGCAGATTGCGCGCTTCGAGCGTTGTCTTTCACGCTACGAGTCACCAGTAAAAACCGCTGGGTGGTCTATAGTCACTCAAATCCGTGACTTGCGACTTTCAAGACCGACTACTCCCACGTCCTGGATTGTTGCATAAAAGCTCATTCCCGGGCTTATATATTCTACCATTGAATGAACGGGTAGACCTTCACATGCGACCAAAAGTTGATATGGTGGCTGAGCCCGTATTTATATATGCATATATATATCCGACCTTGAAAGGGATCGCATCTGATATATGCCATTTTCATTCCGGATCAGACACAGAACAACGCCCAACGAGATTGATCGTGCGCAGCTTGGCATTCTCGTGCCGACAAAAAGTGCTCTACGCCTGTCAGCGTGAACGCTCCCGTCGACAAGCCGCACGGGTGGCCCGTCGGAAGAAGAAGGTGGAGGGAGCCGCCTAAAAAGGATGGCACCAAGGGAAGAATGATTGCAGAGGGTAGAATTTTTGACTGGCACGATGGTGTGCAGTCTGAACATCTCAGACCTCGAATCCTGCTGGCCCTAATGCTTCCAATCCCAAACATACCTTCGGCGGTGTTGCGACTTATTGCCCTATTCTATCGGTCTCTTTCCTTAATGCTTGTGTTTGTGTATGTGATATCTCTCTCTATTGACGAACGGGGCCGCCTGTTTCACGAGGACAAAACTGACACTGCCATGGTGGCGGTAATGTGCTAATGTTCTTGTTGTTCCACATCATTACGAAAAATATAAGTCGACAGCACGGTCTGATGTCCCTTACAATAGGGAAGTTGATGGACAACGTTCGCAAGAACTTATGTGGAACTCTTCAAGACACACCAATGTCATGTGCGCAATCTGAGACGAGATCCTAGCACAACACGGGAACACAACACCCTCTTCTCGACATGCAAAGCGAGGTCGCTGGCGAAAATGCTGGAGGCGGACGAAGCGGGAGCTCTAGACAACCTCGCGAGCGAACGTATTCAAGAGATGCCTCGAGCAAACATGGAGTTTGCACTCGCTGGGGGCGCGAAGATCTTCCACGCTATCCAAACGGGATAGGGAAAAAGACGAGGATATGGCTCAGCATGCATGATGTCGGTTAGGAGCTAGCGAATCTCAAGACTTCAGACATCAGAAGGATTTCAGATGTGATGATATTGGAACTGCCTTGATGCTTCTTACAATAGGGCTCAACATGCATGATGTGGGTTGGGAGCTGCTCGCGAATCTCAAGACCTCAGACATCAGAATAATTTCAGATGTGATGATGTCGAACTGCCTGTGTTATTGAGCACCAACTTGAGCGATAGAATTCGCAAACCATCAATCAACATGTCTGGCAGCCCCGGTGTTGGTTCTTTGCGCTCGTCGTGCCGCAAATGTTAGTGAGCCATTTGCTACCTCACAGCAAAACATCGTCATCGACGTCGAAAGTTCGGATGGCTAGATAGGGCAAAGAGTGTGTTTTAGGAAAATCCGAGCTACTCACTCAAACAAATTCCCCGATAGGCGCGTTCTTTGATGAGAGAGAATACGAGAAAACCCGGTTGATTGGGTTACTCCCAGCAGCAGATGCTTAACAAGAGGCGAGCCATCAGGAGAGGCGAGCTATATGACCCACCGACTCGATTGTGCCGATGAACTTTCTGATACGGGAATGGGTGATGATAGGATGCTCATGTGGTTGGTCTGCGACGGAGATGAAATGTGGGAGAGGCGAAATGACCGAAGTCCAGCGATGGCCCTCATCGATGCTAGCGGAATCCCAACTGAGCAAAAATTCTGCTGGAGCATGACATCTTCTATGAAATGACTGGGGTTATCACCTAACCTCTCTTCCGCATGTTGCTTTTGGTGCTCTTGGTTTGCTGTTAGCTTGTGATGAACCGTTGGAGTTTGTACTATTGATTGCTCCCTGAAGAGTCGGCCTTGCACCCTGGATTATGGGAAGAAACCCTTCAACCATGAGGAGAATGGGACGGCGAATGATATCGGTCATAGTGCAGCAAACAGAAATCAACGCGGCCCTATTTCGATAAATATGAAGCCGGCAACTTCGCCGTAGGATGTCTACCTGTGACTACACCATCAGGCCCCTCTAGGCGCCGTCCAGCATCCCAGCAGCAACTCGTCAACCCTTTTATGGAAAGGCGAGACATAGGTTGGCTCGCTCCAGTCCCAGCCCCAGCACCACATTGAGTTGCAGCGGGAACACACAGGGTGGAACTAGCCCTTCGTGGTAGCAAATGTTTCTTCCGTTCAGCTGGTACGGACCGCTACGTCGTTGGAATGAAAGTTGTTGCGAACTTCATCGCAAGCTTCCTCAAGCACGGCCTCGAAATTTTGCCGTTCTATTCGCTCCATAAGCATCTGTCTGGCGCAGTACGTTCCTCGCAGAATTCAGATTTCGGAGACGCTCCGTATACATGGGAAAAGCCTGCAAATCCAAGTCGAAAAGCGGAAGCATGAGAAGATTCATATTGAGAGGAATGGAAGCCGCACAGATACCGAGTCATTGGGTGAAACGCAGCATGTCGAGACTATGTATTTTCTCCTTCACAATACATCAAACCTATGAGTGAAGTTTGATGACATGGAGGTGGAATAAATGAGGAGAAAGGGATGTATGGGGGTTTCTGACCAATTACCAATGTGACCACGCACACATAGGGTCCTTGCCCATGTATGAAAACTGCGTTGAGGAAATGAACTGTGCAACGACACAAAAAGCCTCAGTTTTCTCTATATGTAGCCCGCGTAGCCTCAAACGGTTTCTTACTTTAATTACTCCGACTTCTACTGCCTTGTCAGCTTCCAGTGTTGCATTGTCATCAAGTGTAGCCCGTATCTACATAGCCGGACTTTTACTATTGATTAAGAAGCTGACACCAAACTAGCAGGTTCTAATGAAAAGGAAGACCACATCAAGTTCGAGTGTAGTATGCCACTCGCCATACAATTATATTTCTCATTAGAGCTGAAGTGAATCGTTTCGACTGACCTCATCTACCTCATACAAAATCTCGAAATCCCTTTTTGTAGAGATTCGGCAACATGTACAACACGCTTGTCGTAGCCGTATAGCCTCGATCACCGTCCCAGGGGGCCAACAACCGAGCTCACCATCACGGCAGCTTCTCGCTCCCAGTTTCCAACAACCACCATGTCGGATCCTGGTCGTCCCTTCTCAGCTAGCAGGCTGGTAGCAGATACCTGCGATGCACGGAGCACACACTCTTTGATCTCGACTCTTAGTCGATCACGGTTGGACCGCAATGTACGAGCAGAGACACCGCCTCGGTTGACGGTTTCCTGGACACGCGGTGCGAGAGATGAGGCGAGGGAGCGCCAGTAGTAGGAAGGAAGTGAAGTGGTGTCCAAAGCCTGGAGAAGAGGCTGCAGGAGATTAGGTTTGTTTGAGGCTGCTGCTTGGGCTTCGGCAGGTTCGTCGATTGCGGAGGCCAAGAGAGGGTGCGGTGGTGGGCGGAGGTTTCTGAGAATGTTCTCCAAGGCGACTATATCCTGGCATCGGGCGGAGATGTCGGCGAGGGCTCGGTCCATGGTTGGCAGCTGGGTAAGAGCCCGGGCGAGAGAATTTACGGATGTCATGATCGCTGTGTGCATGAAGCCTTGTAATGTTGACAACAATAATTCGGGTTTGTAGTTGGCTGCTGTGGTTTCGCCCTTTGGTGCAGGCGAAAGAAGATATAGAGTTGTGGCGGCGGTTGCGAGACGTGCTCGGGCATCGCGGGCTTGCTTATATCCAGATGGAATGGATGACTGGCCATTGGCGCTTGCCGAGTTTGAGGACAAAGTGAATCTGTTAATGGTCTGTTGCGCTCTCGACTTGACCATGTTCTCTGCGGGGATGACGAATTCTCCGCGCAGAGTGCGAGTGACCTTCACCCGATCCAACCCATAGCCTTCTTCGCCCTGGGTCGTGGCCGAGAACATTTCGCGCAGGTTCAAAATCGTGTACGCTGCTCGTTCAAGTGCGCGGAAGCCATCTTTTCCAGTTGACGGTGATGCTGGTCCATCTGGTCCGGCTGGGAGGGCCGGCCCTGTTGCACCTCGACCTGTAATTTCAGATACCTGGCTCTCTAACTGTCTACCCAGGGTTAAGCAGCGCGCAACCGCCCTTGCTAGGCGGACAGTTTCAAGGGAGTTTTCAGCAGCAATACGGGCTTCCTCGGCTGCTTGCCATTTTTGTATAACCTCTTTTTGGAGGCGCTCGTACCCTTGAGTCACAGAGGCAATCTGTGTCCCTGATTCCTTCAAGATATTATCAGCAGCTTTAGTTTGGCTTTGGGTGTGTGAAAGCAATGGGAGAGCTGATTTGGTTGTCAATGCATGGATGTGTGTATCGATCTCCTGAAGATCAAAGAGTACCCGTGACAATGGTGTTGATAAATCCAACGGGGTATCTGTTGCATTGTTTGTGCTTGTCACCAATGTATTGGCAAATGAAGTCGGCGAGAATTCCGGGTCTAAGAAAGCCTCATAGTCTATGTATGATGGATCTCCTTCTGCCATGATTCTAGACGTGTCCAATGTCTATCTCAATGGGGCCGCATAGAAGAACAGAGTAATGGAGTAACTAGGGAAGATCTTGGAACCAGCCAATCAGGAGCATGTGGAGATCAGAAGCAGTATTTCTTCGACTCTCAATGTTTTGACATCCGTAGGTCATTGGAGGAGAGAGAGATATTGGCCATAAGATAGGGAAACCCACATGGCTGATAACAATAGCGTCACGTGTCATTACTTAGTCACCTTACACATTCTCAGCAGATGAGGCCATTACTGACTTGTCAATGATAATATAGATAAAATATAAGTGACTAGGATACTACGTTAAGTATATCTAGATCATCCTAAACATAATGTGGCGATGCAGGCATAGGAATTCGAGGTAGAAAACCTCGGAGACCTTTACCAATCTTAAGAGTCCACGAGGGAGCCACCGACATCAGATAACTCTAGAGCCAATGAATATCTGCTTTCGAAATATCAATCAATCAAATATCAAATGCGTTGACATTGTAACTTTGCCAGCGCCTTCCAACGACAGAGCGGGGTCCACTTCAGATAAGAGTTCGGATTTATGTCCGAGTATTATGAACATGAACTCTCGACATTTAAAGACACAATTTCTGGAAAATATAGTACTTTAAGCTAAGAATTATTCACCATGTCGACTACAACCACAACCCAAGAGCAGACCGTTCGCTTGACCAACGAAGATCAACTACCTCCACTACCACCAGCAGCAAATGATGCAGGCTTCCAAAGTCTAGCTCGTGGAGGCCGAAACGGCACTCTGAAACTGCGCGGTATTCCCACATTCTCAGACCTAACCGAGAAACGCAAGTGGATGAAGGAGCACATGGCTGCTGCATTCCGGTTCTTTGGAAAGCTGGGGTATGGAGAGGGTGTCTCCGGGCACATTTCGATGCGAGGTAAGTGTGACACTCTCTTTTGAATGGAATATTCGTTATAGAGCAAGAGGATTCTGACAAATTGCAGACCCAATCCTCAAAGACCATTTCTGGATGAATCCATTTGCCAAGCATTTCTCGACTATCAAGGCTTCGGATCTTGTTCTCCTTGACGCTGATGGATTCGTCGTTGAGGGTGGAGCCCAGCTGCCTGTTAATGAAGCTGGATTCTTGATTCATTCAGAGATCCACAAAGCACGTCCAGATGTTGTGGCTGCGGCGCACACGCATGGTATCCATGGAAAGACGTGGAGTTCATTTGGGAAGCCAATCGAGATGCTTACGCAAGGTTGGTGGCTTTCCTTTTCCCTTTACGTAGCATTCGGGTTCGAATTTGGGCTAACGTAGTATAAAGATGCGTGCAACTTCTTTGGCAAAGTGGGCGTTTACGAAGACCATGGCGGCATTGTTCTGTCGGCAGATGAAGGGAAGGCCATTGCAAAGGCATTGGGCAAGGAAAACATTGCATGTATCTTGCAAAACCATGGGTGAGCCGATATTTGCCCTTGCATTTTCATGTGTCTGGTTCTGTCTGGCTAATTTGACTCAACTCATGTACAGTCTTCTAACTGTCGGCTCGACTGTTGATGAAGCAGCAATCCTATACTCCATGCTGGAGCACGCTTGTGAGTCACAGCTTCTTGCTGAAGCAGCAGCCGCCAATGGTCTTCCGAAGAAGATCATTAGTGATGATGCGGCTAAGTTTACCGCCGATGCTGCCCAGAATCCTGTAAGTGGAAAGGTGATATATGTTTGAGAATATGTATGCTGACCATCTTAGCACAACTTCTATACCGAGTTCCAGCCTGAGTTCGAGTTGCTTGTCGAAGAGACAAACGGAAGGTTCCTTGAGTAAGATGTGAACAATATAAATAGCATTTCCGATTCGGTTCGAAGCTCGTCCAAATATTTAGCCTTTGAAAGGACATCGAGAGAGCAGATCATCAACCACAATATCATTTCACGAGAGCGTTGGATGAAAGGTCCTGGAGAAGCTGTGCTGCCCTCAGACATTATTCCAGATAGCAATACATGCTTCCTTCGTAACAGGTAGTATAAGCTTTTGCATAGTTGTACTTGAGCTTCGCCGAAATGGATGTTATTCTTAGGTACGGAGGATTCGAGAAGTTGAGATTGAATATGGAATTATTTTCATATAGCTCGTCAGATCGTCTGACTGAGAAGAATAGTACAAACCTAGCAGATATTAATGTAAACAGGTATCGAACAAATAAATATGGAAATCAATTCCTTCAGAACAAACGCCATCTATACAGATGCAACTGCCGCAAGGGTATACAAAATGGAAATAATGCATCAAACAGTCCACGATAGACCAAGGCGTGGGAAGAAAGATAAGTGTGCCAGTGTAACAAAAAGTCGTTCATAGCCCCAACAGGGAACATCAACGATGGGGCGAGGGGGCGAGCAGGCGCGGCTTCATACAGCATGCTCACCCGTGTGCTTCATATCATCCAATTCATATTCTTGCAAGCTGCGTTCTCGACCGCGGCCACGGCCAAAGCTTGACTCCTGCTGGCCGTCACCGTCAGATGTCTGTGACGGGCCAGCTTGGGTGCTGCCACTGTGTCCACCAAACTTGATAGGCTCCAGCTCCCGTCTTTGGCACACCCACATGCCAAGGAAGGTCATCATAGTCGCACTGGCGAATTGAAGTCCCCACCAGAGTACATTCGAAGGCAGGGAGTGGGAGTACAAAGTAGTGGCGATGAGGTGGAGGAAGTGAATCGTCAGAGCGAAATCGGGCACCAGCTTTGAACGAGATACGAAGATGAGTAGGAATATAACACTGAGTATTCCCCAAGGGGAGATTAGAGTTAGCTGTTGTTCAAGATACTCAAATGTCGAAGTAGTGGACAACTCACCTAACAAAGCAATTCAACATCCACACCAATCCCAACATCCATCCAATGGTCGTGTCGCCACGCAGAGAGTCCCAGCCAAAGACTAGGTCTAGCGAGAATGGTGCGCCATAGACAACTGTCGTGAACAAGATGAGCACCGTGGCGCAGGCATAGTATGCGAGCTGCAGCAAGAGGATCTTGCGGACGATCTTCAGCGGAGGGAGTTCGGTGCGCGACCCCGCTGGTGGACGCCGGCGCGCGGGCATCAACTAAATAGACAACGGGGGTCTTGTCACCCTCGAATTTCGTTCAAAGTCGAGGTGTCGGATTAAGCTCGGCGGTCGAGGCGAGGATAAGAATGTGGGGGCGAAGGGAAGGGAACATGCAATGCTATTTGGGAAGATGTTCAAAGCGAAATCCAGAGACAAAAAGTATCCAGTGTCAGAGACTTCAAAATTATATGTAAAATCCAGAACGTGTAGTGTGTTCAAAGTGAAAAAGGGTCCGGAGATGGCGATCGCCTGCCTGGGATCAACAGTCTTGGCGGTCACAGGCCCGACCCGCCAACTGGGCATCTGCCATCACAGACACCTGTCAGTTGCACAATTCGCTACAAACCACAGGATACTCTACATATTCGAATAGAGTCGACACCCAATCCGCTCCCTATCCGGTATAATCATCTCCACAAAATGGGCTGGCTACCTTGGTCTTCCGGCGATTCAAACAAGAACGCAGCCTCCGACGGCGGCCGCATTGCCCCGGATCGAACGAGTCGCGCACGCTGCTGGGAGGGTCGGGATCTATTTTTCGCCTGCCTTGACAAGAACGATATCCTGGATGGCATTAAAGACGATAAGAAGGCGCGACAGAAGTGCGCTAACGAGGTCGCGGAGTTTGAGGCGGCATGTTCACAAAGCTGGGTACGTACGGTGGGATCTTTGATCAGTTGCTCTCAGAATTGCCAATTTTTGGTGCTTTCTAGCTTGATCTACGTTATATCTATTCGCCGGCAAATTGCTGACTCAAGATTCTTGGTGTCTACTAGGTGAAATACTTCAAGGAAAAGCGTGTGATGGAGTTCAACCGGGACAAGACGATCGAGCGCATTCAAAAGGAGGATGCGGCTAAGGTGAAGGAGTTGAAGGAGAAAGGTTGGAACTCGAAATAAGAAGCCAGAAGGACTTTTTGTCGGTGGCTTTTGTACAATATGTAGCATATCCTCTCTTATCACGTACCTTGATGACCACTCCATTCCAAAGTTACACTACTGGAAGCTGAAAGCCTGAGACGGCTTGCTTGCTCAGTCTTACTATGTATGCCCTGTATAATTCCAGCTCTAAGATCCAAGGTTCGTCAAATATGCTATTCGGAATTTGACTCGGCCTGTCTTTTGAGGGACCTCGTGAAAGCGGCACCTAAGAAGCCAAAGCAAGTCCATAGAAAATGAAATATAGTAGAGTGACCTAGGTACACATGCTTTCATGTCAAACCGGAGAATGTACACAAGTAATAATATAACCCAAAATATCTAAGGAACATCCGTATATGTCCAAAAGGGGAAAATAAACAGTCACAATGAGCAAGAGTCCGATGATTGAAAAGACAAGTCAACTCCATCCTAAATACCCCCTTGCCGCAATATCTACCTAATATGTTACTGCCTTTGACACACGAGAAGCAACGAGCAAAAAGGAAAGAAAGGAAACGCCTAGTGTTGCGAGAACTGGGTTTTGGCCAGCCAGAAAAAAAAAGAAACCGAAGCAGAGCACTGAAATCACCAGGAATGCAAGAACGCCAGGCCCCTAAAATGAAGAATGACGATGAACTTTAAGTTCGAATGAGAATGAGGTAGTAAGAGAGTCGTGAAATCATTGCTTCCATTTAGCCAGGTGCTGCATCAGGTTCTGTACCTGGGGTCCAACGGGTCCCTGGCCCTGCTGCTGTTGTCCACCTAGTCCTTTGGCTAGGAGCGAAAGCACGTTTGGATCGGTGATCATTGGTGCATTTACAGGCTGGAGATTGAAAGGTGGCTGGGGAAGAGGTTGCTGTGGGGCGGTTTGCATAGGTGGAGGCCGATGCGCATTGGTCAGGAGACTAGCGAGGTCGGCCGGAGGTGGGTTTGGTGAGGAAAAGGGCGACTGAGTAGCAGACACAGGCTGCGAATGGGGAGGTCGCTGGAGCGCAGATAAGAGAGTAGAGAGGCTAGGACCATCCAGTGAACCAATGAGGTTCGCGATGTTGGGTGGATTTGAAAGCGTAGGCATGCCGGGTTGAGGAACCGGCATAGGCTGTGCTTGGGGGACGAGGAAAGCAGGATTGGGTGCAAATGCAGTTGGGGCTGCTCCTCGCTGCATCGCCTGGGCTTGGTGGCTCAAGAGCTCAGCAGACATATTAGGCTCGAGCTCAGGGTAATCTATGGGGGAAAGAAGAGGTTAGCAAGAGGTGGAAGAAGAAGCGAACACAGAATGCGCTTACCAAGGAAGCGGACATTATCCAATCCGGCAGTTCGATCAAAGAGCTGCAGAGGAATTTTCCGAGATACTTGATTCGGACGAGATAGTCGAACAACCGCAAGAACACCTTCAATAAATTGACGATGCACGGCGGCACCCAGGGGGATCCGGGGACCAAGCACCAGGACATCCACTCGCAATCCACGGTTGCGGAAAGCGTTCTCTACATGAAGAACGAAGTTCCTTCGTAATGTCAGTGATTTTGTCAAACAGACCTCAATGTATTCAACCCACCTGTCAAGTTCTTCCAGAACGAGAAGCTGCACCTCCGGTACATCTCGCTGAGCTCGTCGAGGCACAGGTAAATCTGCTTCACCTTCGTAGATACCACGTGGTCTTGGACTGATGCTGCGGTAACGTCGATCTCTGGAATAAGGAGAGCGAGGAGAACGTGGAGAACGGGAGCGCCGTCGCTCGCGGCGATCAAACCTTTCTGGGGTTCTGTCGCGCGACCGATACCCCTCTCTAGATCCCCGAAAGGGCCGCGGGGAAGGCGATCGTGGCGGGCGATAATCGTCGCGTCTGCTGCGGTGAGAAGGTTCATCCCGGAAATCGCTAAATGGAAGCCGATTCGATTCATATGGCTTGGATCGGTCGTATCGATCGGCAGGGCCCCGGACGTTAGTTCGCCCAGGCCCGGCACGGCTGAACTCCGGTGACCGCGAACGGTGTGGCGGCGGTGCACGGGAAGTCTCGGGTGCTTGCGCGGGCCGAGTCGATCGCTGGGGCTTTGAAATTTCGAGATCTGTGGACGGTTAGGTTTTGGAGAGGAAGATTGCCGAATTATCGCTTCGGGCACTCACGTATCTTCCTGCCGCGCACGATGGCTCCCTGTTCGACACCGAGAGCCGCATGGCAAGAACTGGCCTCTAGAAACTGTATGAAGCCGTACGCCTGTTTGATCGATATCTGTGCCAGTTTGCCGTACTTATGGAAGATATGGAACATGTCTCGCTTGGTGACTCTTTCGGTAGGGAGGTTGCCTGCACATGGAAATCCCGTTAGATAGACGAAGACTTGATATAAGCGGACACAATACTGACCAACAAACAACCTGGAGCCCATTGGGAACCGATCCCAGAGACCTTCCGTCACATAGATCCGCTCATCGTGCAAGAACTCATCATATTTCTTCTGAACCTCTGGACCCCAGGGCGCATCATCGTCAGAAAGCTTGATAGGTCGACCCTGCTTGTCCACACGGCCTTTCTTGGAAGCTACAGAAGGCTCTTGCAGGGAGCCCTGAGATTCGGCACCGGTAGATGGAGTTTGCGGGAAGGTACCGGTTGGGGGAAGTAGATTGTTGGCGGCCGAGGCCCCAGAAGCAGTGTTAAATGGCTGGGACTGGTTCTGGGGTTGAATATTACTAGATTGGGCCGAGTAGGCAGGCGGTGCAGTGGCATCGGCATCATGGGCAGACGGAAGTTGGTGATGTGATCCACCGTTTGGAGTATAATGGGCCTGGATAGAAGTGTGGCTTTGGGCTTGGGGGTGGGCATGGGTGCCCTGGGATTTGAGGGACTCGCCGGGTGCTTGGCGGAGAGACGAGTTCTCAGATGAAGAAACGGCGGGAATGGTTGCACCAGGGTTGGGGAGTGAAAGATTGTCGAGCAAGCTCTGGAAATTGACACCTCCCACGTTATGTTCCACGCGCTCGTCGGTAATTAGGCGGTCCGGCATCTTTGACTGCTCCGGGTGGGCATGATCTACTTCGCTCCCAGTGGCATAGCCTTGGGACACCGGAGCAACCGGAGCGGCGTGGGAATAAGTGGAATCGTGGTGAGAGAAAGCTGAACTCAGTTGGCCGGGATTTTCGGACCCCGAAGCTGGGGGAGGGTAGTATGCAGAATCAATTTCATTCTGCATCCCAGGATTTGGCAAGGCTTGAAAACTACCATCTTGGGTACTCGATCCCCCCTGTCCATCTTTTAACCCGTGCAACCATCCATGTGTTTGTGGGACCTGATTATACACCGAGCGTTCATAGGTGGAGGTATCGTTGAAGACGGGGTCCATTTGGTTCTCTAAGACTGGGATATTCGACGGCTCTGGTATGTGTAAGGGTCGAGGGCTTTCCGGAGTCAAAGTCTTTCCGCGAAAGTGAAGCGCTTCATCGGGACTGGGCGTCATGTAGACTTTGGGAAGGAGGTGGTTTCATCTACGGAGAAATGGTGAAGGAGTCCGGGGGGCTAGGAATTTTCGCAATCGCAAGCTAAGGTGGGGCGATGAGAAAATGGATTTTCTGCCTTTACCCAAGAGGGAAAGTAGAAAGGAAAAAGAAAGAAAAAATAGGCGATGAAGAAGAGAAATGGGGGGAAATAGGTGGGGGGGAATAGAGAAAAAAAAAAGTTTGTCAGGTGAGCAAGTTGGAGGCGTTGAGGATATCAATCACGAGGCATATTATTTAGGATGGATAGATTTCAGGTGATGGAGTGGTTGATGTAACGACTATAATACTATATAGCACTATACACCCGTACTATATATAACATTGAAATTATACAGAAACTACATCATTCTAATCACTCTAAATAATTTCAGTCAAATAAAAAGCGTTTGTTACGTACGCTAAGCGGGGCCAGACCGAGTCTCTTTATGTTTTGAACTCTCCACCCTCTTTTCCCTTTCTCGAACTACTCCGTACTGGACTATGTATTCCCGTATACAAAGCTTGACCGCTTTGCGAAGATTCGCATCTCAAGCTGATCAAGATATAAAAATAGCCAGGGACTGGCTCAAATCCTTCAATT